GCTTCCAGCAGACCTCTGGAAGGAGGATCTTGCTGCTTTCTCTGAGGAACTGGAGGTATTTGCTCTGCATTTTGTTATGCTTTGCATGCCGTCATAAGTGCACCTTGTCAGTCGCATATGCTCAATTAAAGTATTTCCACCATAGTTTTAGAAAGAGATAAGGAAACTTTCCTAACTGGCATATCATATATCATGTCATATTGTCAATTCCACGTGAGCATGCATATTTAGTACTGATGCAAGCTTCTTGTTACATTCAGTCACTTAAAGGTTTTCCTAATTTCAATCATCTTCTTATCTTGTTCCTTGTGTGCAGAACATTGAGACAAAAGAAAAGGAGAGTGCCGCCATGCCTGTTAAAAAGGGGACTGGAAAAGGCAAATCGGTGAAGGTGAAGCAGGAGACTATGCCCACACCGCAGGGTCGTCGTGTTATCCCACGCGTTACCAGCACCATGAAAGCTGAAGCCAACAGGAAGGCTGATATTAAGAAAGGAGAAGGCAAGAGAGGAAGGAAAATCAAGGTATGTGCTGTTAAATTTAAATAAATAACACTGGAAAAGAATGATCTTCTCATGTTTATTGGGTTCGTAGTTAGTCTTTTATCTGCATCTTAAGCATTTTTTGCTACAGCACACCCAAATTAAAGTAACATTTTGCATGCCCTAATTTCTGTAATTGTAGAGTGAAGATGTGGTGATGAAGATGGAGTTTGGAGAAGATGCAGAGAATGCTGCGCCAAGTGAGGAAATTGGCTTGGCTGCACGACTCAGCAAGAAAACTAAAACCCAGGCAAAGGAAAAAGGTGAGAATGACTGCTGTAAGCTTAAGTTATATTTCCATCAAACAAGATGCAAAAAAGTGCAGTAAATATATTACAAAACATAATTTTAAACATAATTGCACAGCTCTCTGCATCTACATACAGTAAATATAGTGTTGTCACCAGTAACCAATGGCTCTTTATAGTAATATCTAGAATAAAGCTTGACTGGTTGATAGTGGCCACCCTGTGAAAATATATAATCTAAACGTCCTTCCTTGCACAACCCTCAAAGCAAAACAAAAACCCAGATCTTGTTTATACATTTTAAGCTTTATCAACTTCTAGGATATTGTACTTCAGAGATAACATATGAGGGTGTGTATCATAACTGTGTTTATTGTATCTACCCACAGTTTCAGAATTTTACAGTAGTAATAAAGGGGTGGAGTAACTGCAAGTACAAATTGACTCAGGTCACATGTAATGCTGCTTGAGCTAGTAAAATAATATAAAGTTTACATGCCTAGTAAGATAGGCGCAATGACAAACCTCTTAGTTTGCATATTGACAACTCTACACTAGTATTAAGAGAGAGCACTCAGCAAAATGACTGGAAACCTTTAATATCATACATAATGGGTTAAATTAATTTATTTAGATATGCGCTTTAAGTACTATCTGTATTTAGACCTACTGTAATGAAGCTTCATTGCATTTTTATTAAACTTTACTAAGAAACACACTTCTCTGCAGCAGCATCAAAGAGCGGCAAGCAAAGCACTCTTCAGTTCAAACCGGTTTCCAAGAAGCCCAAGAAGAATCCGTGGTCGGATGATGAGTCTGACCATCTGTCTGCCGTCAGTGAAATGGAAACAGAGGAAGTGGTTGCCCCGAGGGAGCGGGTTGAGCGCAAAACTAAAGGTGAATCAGCTAGACGAGCCTGATTACCATCAGGATAGTTAGATGTGTGATCTATGTATAGTTGCTTCCTTTCACTGTGAACAAGGATGTCCTACTTTGAATGGACTCTGTTTCAGCTGTTTGTTTGCTCATACAAACCCAGACAGTCACGCAAGATGTAATCACTCCAGAAAAATACAACGCATTTCCTGAGGCTAATTAGCTCTCTTATGTCAACTGACCCTTAACTAATCTTTGCAAACAGCTGTTTGGTTACTTATCTATTATGAGAAAACTTCTAATTAAAATGTTTATTAAAATATTCATGAATTCTAAATCGAACCATCCTGTTTCCTGTCTCTTAAGCTGCGGTGAAGTACAGTATGTCAGACAGTGAAAATGAATTTGATGACTGGGGGAAGAAGGATGCTCCAAAACGGAAAGCTGCCATCAGTGATGATGATGACAGCTTTGTCCCAGAGCCCATCACCATGGCTGACAGCGATGTGGACTCGCCAGCCCCGCCTCCCAAAGCCCCAGAACCCACGTGAGTTTGGCAACTTGATGTATAATATCTTCTTTCACTTCGAGTGTTCCAGTTTTTTTTAATTAACTTGAATCAAATTTCATCATTTCTGTGCAGGAAGAAAGTGACAAAGAGCAAATCAACAGTAAAACAAGCTTCAAGCAAGTCAAGCTGTGAGTATTTTCATGCAGTTGTCGTGATGAGCTTGTGAAATGTGGGCTGTGGGACAGAGGTTTCATTGTTTGCTCTTTGTGTTGCTCTGCAGCTGCCTCGGATGATCAGGTGCCCGCATCCAAGGCTCCAGTTCAACGTAAAACCAAAGACACTGCACCCAAGAAAGCTCCTGCTGCCAAGAAACCAGCTGCACCCAAGAAGAAGGCTGCAGGTATTTATCCAGTTTAGCTGAATTCAGAACAGCTCAGTGTGGTTTATATGTCACACCGATGGAAGAGCAGATATATGGTTAAAGTTTGAAAGTTATGATATTCCCGTTTTTTATTTATTTCTCATCAAATGGTATCAATAAGTAGTAGTATATTAAATTGTAACAGTAGTTGTATACATTTGTCACATCTTTCTTATGTAGATTAGAGACTTAAAGTACATGGTGGCTAAAACAAATTTATAGTTTGTTTATCCTGTTAATTCCTCGTAGATGTGAAGCAGCCATCCATCCTGGATGCTCTTTCTAAATCGAAACCTTCATCCAACACGGCTGCCAAGAAGGTCCCTTCGTTTGACTCCAGTGACTCTGAGGGTGAAGCTAAAGCTCCAGTTACAAAGGCGAAGCCCGTTCTCAAACGGAAACAGGTCGTTAGTGATGACTCCGACAGCAGCTCAGACAACCTCATGTCACGCCTCAAGGCCAAAACAACTGTCAACAGCAAGGTCAGTTTTTACTCTGATTTCAGAAGGACTTTAGGGGTTAATGGACCTTTTTATATTGCAAGTCAGTATAAATACCTTTTTATACTTGAATATTTTCTCTCTGTTTTTGTAGAAACCCAAGAAGTGGATTGACGATGACAGCTTCCAGATTTCAGACCAGGAAAAATCGTCTCCCGTTGCAGTGGCACCAAGGGACAAGCCCTCACGTGCCCGGAAACCTGTAACCTACAACCTGGACTCAGACTCAGACTCTGATTAAATTTTATTCTCTAAATCAGTGTCTCTAAGGTCATATTTTAGATTTTGTATTAAAGATTGGGTTTTTAGTAAGTTATACAAAGTTTGTGCCATGTGACTAAATATGGCTTCGCTTTTATCACTTGAAACAGTTAGACTTTCATGGCCCTGCATTTCCCAAAAATATTATTCTTTGTAGAAAAACAAGTATCCTGTCAAAGAGCAGAAGTTCTAAAAACAAAAAAAAACAAACTTATATTTGTTGTACCCAGTTATACCTGCGTAAGTCTAGTGTTAGTCTTACTCTTAGGTTTCTTGAAATGTCTTTTGTAATCCACTTGTTTGTGTTTTGTCTTGTCTTGTAAATATTTCAATGGCTGTTCATTTTTATATCTTAAAATAAAGTTAACTTGTTTGTAGTGGTTGTGTGATTGGAATTGTGTGTTGCATGATAAGATTGCCTAAGGGCTAACAACTAGTAAAACGTCACTGATTTTGTCTGTACAAGTCAGGTTCTCAGGAATACTCAAATGTTTAAGGGAGGGAGAATCTTCAGTTTATCTGTACCACTGCACCAGTATGGTAGAGACGCTGGTGCAGTGGGGATTAGGTCATTGGGAAATTGAAATGGGTAAGTAACATTTTATTTTCACTTCAAAGGATAGATTTGCTTTTTTTTTAATTCAAAATCAGTTTGTTCTCATTGAGAGTTGGCATAGAGAATTTATCTTATCTATTTTTTTTAGATAAACATTCAATCGCTGAGAAGCAATTATAATTTTATTGCTTGCATAAATGAGCAAATCTAGAACCACTAAGCTCAATAGAAACTGATGCATTTTAATGCTGGTGATTGCACACTGAAGAACACTGCATGTGCAATGAGTCAGTGTCTATGCAGGTTGCATGTTCTCATGTTGCCCCTTGTGATCAGGGAAACCGGTGGCATAGCTTAGAACAGACCCTTCCTGCCATTTAGGGAGCTCTTTGAAATGCTCATCAAGACTTTGCCTCTCTTGGGTAAACATCACTTCTTTCTTAATGGGTACAGATTAGGACGTAACAGGAATTTCCTAAACTGTTGCCGCCCTCTCAATAATAACCCCCGGCAGATCTCAATCACATGCCAGTTGGAGAGAGTGTAAGTTAGTATGGAGATTTGATTTTTATTTAAATCTTCATTTGGTTTATCGGAGGACATTTCTGAGAGGGAGAAGACAAACAAGGATACAGGATTTTTAAGGCTTGTCAGAGATGTTTTGGTTTTCTCACGTCTCTGCATCAGGTAAATGAAATGCCAGGTTGAACTTGTTTTGTCAGATTACTGTCATTGGCTTGTCTGAAATCCGGTCCGAGTACAGTTTCACACCACAAGTAGCTCAACCAGCCAGTTTGCTTCCACAAGCTGCAGCTTGTACCCTAATCGAGGCTGTATTCATAGCTGTTGTGCCCTGAAAATGATTTACATTGTTCATTATTATAACTGTTTTTGAGAAATTCCATTGTGGGATTCAACTACTTTCTCTTCCAGTCTCTTAAGGTCATCTGTTAAACCTAAAGAGAAAGAGAGTACCCTGACCTAGTATAGACCAGTGTTATGGTTTTATTTCTTGCATTATATGCTTGAGTTACTGTAATTGCAGGTGGTATATTCATGTTTCATTTTTGGTTTCAGGTCATTGCAACATAAGCCTTTGACCTGGCGGTTGGTCTGTCAGTATGAGTCACGTATTGAAGATAATAAGACACATTTTAGTTTCTTTTTTTTAACCACAGACACCATTTGCTGTGAGACAGGACAGGTGCATAGATCTCCAGACTTTCAAGAAGCCATACCCAAGACAGCACTGCAATCATGGGGGAATGGGGCTTCCTTGGCGGACTCTTTGACAGCCTCCAGGCCCACTCGCCGATGCTGGGTCGTTTCTGGCTCCTAATCATGCTCGTCTTTAGGATACTGATCCTGGGAACAGTAGCCAGTGACCTGTTTGAGGATGAGCAAGAGGAATTTGCCTGTAACACCCTCCAGCCGGGCTGCAAACAGGTATGCTACGACATGGCCTTTCCCATCTCCCAGTACAGATTCTGGGTGTTTCACATCGTCCTCATCGCCACACCTTCCCTGCTTTTCCTCATGTATGCCATGCATCACCATAACAAGAGGACCAACCGCTCCAAATTCGACCAAATTTGCAACCACGACTACAGAGAAGAACTCAGTTTCAGGAGGCTTTACATTGTCAACGTGGCCTTCCGCATATTGGCAGAAGTTGGCTTTCTGGTGGGCCAGTGGTTCCTGTACGGCTTCAAGGTGGAAGCCCAGTTCCCCTGCAGCCGCTTTCCTTGCCCCTACACAGTGGACTGCTTCACCTCCCGCCCTGCAGAGAAAACAGTCTTCCTCTGCTTCTACTTCGTCGTAGGGGTCATAGCAGCGATTTCCAGCTGTGCTGAGCTTCTCTACGGCTCCATGAAGTGGTTCTGCACAAGGCGGGAGCCCCCCACCCCGGAACGCTCCTGTGTCTGCCAGAACCTCCATAACATCAGCAAGGAGGAAGCGGAGTTGGAGGAGAAACCACTAGGAAAGACTGTGTCACACAGTGCACCCAGCAGCATGAGGCTGAAGGCAGGATCACTGAGGAGCAGTGCGAGTAGGAAGGTCTCCAGCAAGCACAAGGGTGGCAAATACGTGAGCACCAGGACACTCATGGTGTGAGAGAGCATGGATTTAAACATCTATGTCCCTTATTTTCATCTAAATGTTTTAAAGATTTGACTAATTCCTGTAAGCCAAATACGGAAAGAAATATTTTTACTGATAATGACTGAAGGATTTTATGATTGGAGATATCATAAGGAAATACTTGGGAGACCTTGATTAGATCAGGAAATGAGCCAAGACAAGATGTGACTGATGGCTTTGATAAGGCAGATTTGTTGTTGACTTGTTTTTTCTGGTGAATCATTACAGACTATAAACAGTTCCAGGAGGGAAAAAGCTGTTGGACCTGATGCACTGATTGCTTCTTTGTTTCAAACAGAACTGACTGAAGAC